AAAACTTTTGTGTAAAGTTAAATAAATATGTAGATCTGCATAAAATTGAATTCTCTATCGATCTGCAGCAAAAAAACGATGCAGGAAGGACTGATTTCTCGAGGATTTTTAATCCCGTCCTTTAGAACATTTCATACCTGCCATGATACATGAATCTGATTAATTCTTTCACGGCTCCATATTCAAGCCCATCCAACTGATAATAAATTTGTTTTTTTGTTGAATCGTTTGTTATGGCTTCATCATTTAAAAATAATTCCATGAAATATCGACTGTGACAACATAGCACTGAACGATGTGCAAATATTTCCTGGCCCTCAACAGTGAGTACAACATCGCATAATTGACGTTGTTTTCGACTAAAGTAAGAAACATTTTTACTTAAGAGTAAAGTATTCTGACTATATTACTCACAGTGTATTTAGCCTTTCAAGTGTTATCGTGCCATGTTGTGAACAATCATATTTAAATAACGGGCTACTTTCTTCTGCAGGTGTATTTTCGGCAGGTATCAATACTGGTAATTTAATTACTGATGGAATATTCGCTGATATGAACGTATCAACATTAGAATTAGAAGCATCAAAGGAAAGATCGCTCATTTTCTACAAATAACACAAAGTACACAGTGAAAAGCTAACTAGGAAAAGGTAGGTTCTGCGCTCGACATTCTTATTATTAAAATAAAAGAGTGGAATAGATAACTAACTATTACTCTTGTCAGTTCCATATCTATCGCTTTAATTTCAATAAAGACTAATATGATTTTATCTGATCAGAATTGGAAGAACTTCATTATGTATAATAACGTGAATTTTTGGACAAATAAAAAGCAAAATCGACACTTTTTCGTCTTGAAACTTAAACTATTATAAGGTTATATTATAAGGTTTTTCAAAGCATTCTTGCTCGATCATGAAATATCTATCTACATGACTATAGTCATATATTTCCAGTTTCAAACACATATTTCATATACTAAACAGAATAAACTAACACTAAGAATATTTTGAAACAAAAACAAAGAATTACATATAATCCTAGACAAAACAAAAAACACACACACAAACGGTAACACTTTATAATATATAGATACATTTGACGTACACAATGTCTTAATATTATCCCATAGCACAAGACAAAATTAAAATGCAGTTGTGTAGAGTGGCATCTTGAAGTAATAGAGTTGAAACTGATATACGGGTTGAAAACTCAAATAAATTTGTTCAAGCGTAATGGGCACAGTACGCCAAAGAAACTATACTATCCTATTTTCTATAAGTGTCGATTAACAATAAATAAATGTATTTTAAGTAGAGTGATCATAAGAACGTAAAAAAAATGACTATAAAATACTAAACAGATCGGTGTCATTGCACTCAAGCAAATGAAAAATTTTGATCGGCGGATACTCCGACTACCGTATGACTAGTCGAAATTCTCTGTCGACTGGTGAAAAACTGGTCGGGTTGGATGAATTTCGACAGGTAACCAACTAGTCTACCGTCAGAAAATGGCACTCCGACTACCAGATTTATCCGTTGAACACTTTCATGGGCAGTCAACTACAAACGTTTGTGATTACGAAGTAATTTTTACAACCAGAGAATCGAAAAACAGTATTTGCAATCAGAGTTTTGAGCAAAGTGTACATTCACGGTTTATCGTCGCATCCTAGCTTAGTTTTTACGCCTCTATACTCATGGAAACAGAGTGTACATTCAGGTTTTAGTGTATAAGGTACGCTTCTGCTGCGTCCATTCATCATGAAAAATACCGAGTACATATGTCTCATATCGAAAATAATTCTAACAAAATAAATCGCTCCATATGTGCATAAATTACATCAAACAAAACGGTGAAATATCTAGGATAGTTTTCGAAACAGAGTAGAGCGAAAGTTGAATAAATAGTTTTATAGACACTACAGAGACTAACAGGAACACTGTCCCGGAAAAGCATACTTTTAGAAAAAGCACACTTAAATTGTGCCAATGGCACGGAAAAAGTGTGCCAAAGTATGCTTTTTATTTGCAGTGTAAAGTGTATCATCGGCACACTTCACGTGCGTCATCGGCACACTTTGAGTGCGCTAATGACGCAGTTGAAGTGTGCCGATAATACACTTTTAGAAGTGGCACACAAAAAGCGTCCAAAAATGCTACCGTTGTGTGTCGAAGCATACTAGAAATGTGTCAATGGCACGGTAAAAGCATGCTAGCAGCAAATAAAAAGCATACTTTGGCTCACTTTTTCCGTGCCATTGGCACAATTTAAGTGTGCTTTTCCGGGACAGTGAACTGCGCAACTAGAAAATAAAAAGATAGTCGCGTGGTACATCGGACGCACAGTATCTACCCTGTAACAAAAATTTTCTTGGAATGTCTTACATGGATGTGTACGCATTTTCTATTTTCTATTAGGTCACGTACTCGATAAAACAAACAAATGAAAACGGATCGAGAAAAAGACAGAAAGACAGTACTTTCTTTTTCGATTGGCAATAAAACAACCAACTGGAAGAACATTAAATAATACTGCCATCTGCATTTGATAATATTTTCTTTAGAGGTACTGGATTAAAACTTTGAACGAATAATATCAGCCTTTTATTACAATTGCACCCGAGATTCGTAGCGTTACTTTTCGAACAAACGGAGTTAGGTATGTGGCTGAGAAGAATACAATTAAAGAGACTTTTGCTGAGATAATTAAAGGAGAAAAGCAGGAGCTGTATAATTAAGCTGAGGTGTACGAAGATTATTTGAATGACTCTTTTATTGTTAATTAAAGAAAGTTTGCTCCACTTTCTGTCGAAATATTTAAAAATTTGCTGTTTCACGACATGAGAATGCTGTTTCTTTTCAAATGAATATCAGTATATTTCTAGGAGAAGAAGATGATGAAAACAGTGCTGGAGTTTACTTTGCACATTTTGTATCATGGACTCGACTAGACTACTTAGAATAATCATTCTACGTATCATGTGCATCCAACTAAAGACTATACTTTTCTTTTTTAATCATTTTGTTTTTACAAAAGAAGGGGATGAAGGCACTTAGATGATGACAATTGTGTTTTTTGGTGAATATAGATTCCATTTTCAAATTCATAACGATTTTAGAACTAGGGACCGTATCACAAAAAAACTTCAGTCAAAGTCTAGACTTAAGTCTTCGTTATATGCACTTACATGCTAATTTTATACACTTAAGTCTTACTTAAGTCTAGACTTTAATTTAAGTCTTTTCGTGATACGATCCCCTGAAGTTTACATCTGGTATTCAGGAAGATTATTTAAGCTAGAGATTATTTGAAGAAAATAACATTTCAGTCGCTTTTTTGTTCTTTCAGTGGACAAAACTATTTTGTGATATATCTGCTTTGGTAGATTTCTGTCTTGGTTCTATTAAGTAATTTCATATTTTCAAAAGAAAAACTTGTATTTAATCTACTTTTTATTCATTCTAGTTTTTTAATTATTTTTCTTTTTGTGACAATGACTTACAATCTGAAACTGTGGAATACTTTTCATCTCAATAAGACACATGTTCAATATTTATGTGAATATTGAAAAATGAATTAAATTTCATTTAGATTATTTAACATCAAAACGTTTATAAACTATGCCTGTTGTGTGAACCTACGATTGTATCATGTCGTTTTGATGTTTGGCATTCATACCTGGCAAAATCACCCATGTAAATGAATTATAATGTAAAGTTTTTATTATTAGATTAAAATTAAGTATTTTAACTTTCGGGAAAAACAACCATAAATAAAAAAACGACTGGAAAAATGCAATTGGGAACATAATTTCTTTATACAACAACAATACACAGATGAAATTACTAATGAAAAAATGCAACTATACCAGTAATTGAAGAAGATTGTCAGATGAAAAAACTTAACGTCACTTCAAAGTGTCGTGAAAACTTGAATGATGAACAAATACAAAATGAACGAACGTCAATAATGCAACAACGTACGTTGAAGTTCAATGAAAAAAGATGAAAATAATCAACTGAACGACATCATGGCAATATCGACTGTCGAGTCAAAGAAAAAGTTCAATGATAAGATGATTTGAAAGAAAAATCTCTTGACCATATAATAAATATTGGATATTGAAATTAAAAAAAGGTTCCAGCTTAAAAGTTTTGTAGATGCCAAATANTCAACTGAACGACATCATGGCAATATCGACTGTCGAGTCAAAGAAAAAGTAGCGGAAACCATAGCTATTTGTTCAATTAAACGATCGATAAATGTGGGAACCAACGAAAAGTAATAGTAGAAACCTTCTTTCTAAGGGTGGTATTTCTTGTTTCGACTTTCAATATTCGTCTTTTTGTTTTCTAATCTATCTAGAATGAGATAATCTCAATCGTAAGTTTTAATCATTATCTTTACAATGAGACTTATGAAATTATTGTTGTGGACTTGAATGATGCATGTCGATTCTTCAATGTTGTTGACTCCTTTTTTCCCTTCCTCATTACCACTA